GTGAACTTTTTATGCTCTTGTAGTCAAAGTTTGATGGATGTATTTTGCATCCATCTCACTGTTTGCGTGTCCACAAAAACATTATTCTTTCCTAAAACTTTTGATAGTAAGAATAAAGTACAATACCTTCCCTTGGGTATCAAACATTTTGACCTTTTCTCCTTGACCATAGACTGGCATTTGAGAAATTGTAACTCTACCATAAGCTCTTCTACGGGGGCATCAGTGTTTTACAAACACATCTTGTTTCTAGATAAATAAACTATTTTTTCCTTTGAATCGAGACGAACACTACCAACTTGATGAAAGAAAAAAATTATACAACCTGAAAAGAATTGAAAGTCAAGAAGAGTTTACTTGTAAGTACTAAGAAAATTTAAAAAGTTCCCTTTATAATTGTCATTGAATCGATCCTTTGCATATCACAAGTTATCTTTAAGTGTGATTTAGAGTGTACTGTAAACCGACTTTTATTCGCGTCATCTTTTAATTGCACTAAAGAACATACTATGTACTTAATACAATGAGACGTAAACATGTAGCAATAGAGACCATAAGCAGCAAGATAGTTATGTCAGTATTCTTACTTTATTTCGGGTTTTTCTTTTCAGGTCGCTTGAGATCATGTGAAGATATGGCAGATTTTGGAGAGATGTCTTTCACTAGTGACACAAAGGGCAAAATATTATTAGTACACTTTTAATTAAATATAGGGATGTGGGTCAAGATAAAATCTCTGAAACGATAAAAGAAGATTTTAATACATGTCCTGTATACCAAAATACTTTTGAAAAATGGAAAACAAAGGTAAATGAGAAACTTTTTATATTTCTTGATTTATTTTCAACTGATTCACAGAGGGCTGATATGACTACTATCCAATAAATGCTGTCAGAGGTAGTATATGATGCCAAGAATAGCGGTACAAAGTTTGATTTGGAAATACCCAATTTTATAAATAAAGCTTACAGACCATTCTTCACTGAAACAGCAAATGATCCATGTTTTAAATTAAAGCATCTTAGGCTATTCTTACTTTGTATAATTTGCATGATAAGCCGATTTCAATAAAAGGGACTAAGAAGAATAAAGTATAAAATGTTCTTTTCATCTCTATTTCCTTTTTACTGTCTACATATTCTCTAAGAATTGTTAGGAATGCCGTTCAGTTTTTCAATTCAAACAGAAACAAATCTTAAATTGTTTATGAAACTACAGTAACTTTTAGGGATGTCAAAGCAATAAAGCTTTTGTGTTTTTTTGTATGGAGAAAGGTGACAGACGTCTTCAGAAACATTTGTAATTGACAAAGATTCAAATACTCTTTAAAAAAAACGCATAGTCGGAACAGTATACTGAAAAATATAAATGGTTTTGTAAAATAATTTTTAAAAAGATGGATATGATTCATTCAAGTAAAATGCATTATTTAAACGCAATTGTTAACTTTTTAGCTATTCTACAAATCCCACAGACAAAAAAACCTGATTTAGCAAAATGTTCAAAAATGTTTGATCTCCATTTTCATTTGTTGATTTCTGATGCCATTCCTTCGGGCACAAAAAGACTATCAAAATAAGTGGTTCTCGATATTTTGATTCTGGTTTCTAAAATTGACGCTATCTAAAAATGATGCATCTGAAGGTTGCATAGCACAAAGAGGAAAAATGGGCGATTGGAAGCAGGTTTTAATGCTACGCACCATATATATAACCTATAAAACATATAGCATTAACAAGAAACACCCAATGTTTGCAAAAAATATGACAGACCAAGTGTGAAATCAGCAGAACATGATATAGCTTCAGGAGATTACGTAAATTTCATGAATGTTTCACAATTATGTCATCCACAGCATTACCTGTACCTGAACTGCACAGAACATCAAGACCGTTTATGGTTGAATACGAAATGCTGAAATTATTACCTGAAGATTATTAATGTCATTGTTTTGACCCCACAACACCCCAAATAAAGACACCAAAGACCTCAGATCAACAGAGTGTGGCCACAGCAACACCACTGAACAGTTTGGTTAACCTACTAGTACAGAATGTTTATTGAAAGCCTGTTCTAAGTTTGCATAGTTTACAGATTGCTTAGGCTTCTAAGACAGAAAACTGCCTCCTGGACGCTGGAAGATATTTTAACAAGAAAATTTGTTTTCAAGGGAGGTGTTGGAAAGTTTGAGTCCAGATAAAATTCAAGAATGGCTTAAGCATTGCGGAAAGAAACGTAGTGATAAAGTAAAAATCACAACTCAACAACAGGCACAATATTTCCAGTAATAATATAATTATTTACTTAAATGCACATCGTCCCTGATGACGAAACTTTCTAATTCACTTTTCTTATAAAATATATAAAATAATCTAGATGGTCGCAAAAGATCAAGCTTCTGATCTTTACAGTGTTTTTTTTTGCATACAATTTAGGAAATTTTAATCCTTTTAACTTGAGGTGGTATGTGTTGTTCCCTTTGCTGTTTGTTTAAATGCTCAAAATTTCGAGGGCTGACATCAGCATTAAGATGCAGCATTTAGCATATTATGCTGGAATACGGGGCGAATACTGAGATCCTGTCAGTATAATATACATTTGTATAATGCTGCGGGGTACCACGAATGTATAGTATTAAGCCCCTCCCCTTCCCTGTGAAAACCGTACGATTAAAAATCTCGACCTTAAACTCTTAATTGTCATCCCTTAGGATATATCCTCATGTCAACAACCTAAAATCCCTGTTTCCCAAGATCGCTTTAAGGACGTTTGATTGAAATAGCTCAGGGATTTTGAAGATTTTGTATAAAATAAAAAGAAACATTACAGATAACACATGTTAGCCTGCGTGGCGCAGTAGTTAAACCGTCTGGTCTAGAGTTGTGAAGTAAGGAGCTGCTCCTAGCGTCGTGGAGACCGATCCTTCGGATGAGACCATATAAACCTATGTCCCATGTCGTACGTAGTACTACATGTTCGCTCTCCATATGAGTGAAAAAATCTCTAGAGTAACGATTAAGAACAAAGAAACAAATGGGTTAGACGACCGCCAGACAGTCGGAAGAACATCAGACACTTTTCGATAAGAAACTTACTTCAGTCTGTAGGTCAGGAGAGCTAGAAACCCTAATTACGCAATGAAACTGAGTGCAGTTTTAAAAAATTGAAGCCCTTTATCGCGGTATTTAATGCATTTCATGCATGTGATTTAGAAAACCATGTTTAATCATGTTTAATGAATCTTTGCTAGGAACTATAATGTTAGAAATATATTATTATCATTATATTATATGGAGGCTTAATTAAAAAGGACTATGAATTTTAGAACGGAACGAGCTATCATTACGATAAGTATTCAGTAGAATTTATGATGTTCGCCGTTATTCCGGATAGTTCGAAGTTTAAAAATACCCAACAATAACATTGATTTAATGGCAGACCTAGAGGATCGAAAGGAGCTAACAATTACGAGAAAAAAGGTCGGATCAGCGGTCACTTGTTAAAATCCTTTTGATTTAAAGGTAAGTGGTCCAACAGTTATTTTTATCCGCTCAAATCCAGGTCAACTGACAACTGGAAAATTAATCAAAATATACCAGTATCACAGTCTTTAACATGTCGTGTCTTGCAAAAAAAATTACGCATTTACTTAGTAGTGAAAGAAATATACTTTATGGTGCAATTTCCACCAATTTATAGAAAATATCAGTTAAGATCCAATTTGAATCGAATGAATCAAATGAAACCGATATATCAGGTTTCTCAGTTGTGCTAGACAAGTTGTTATGCATTTTAAATATATGGCACCTAAAACGGTTGCTATTTGATAAGATAGATTTAGTTATGGAACCGCATTTCTGCAAAAATGTGAGCATAATTTATAGGAAGAACTAAATATATTTATACAGGTCTGGACGATTTATAAATAAGAAAGTCAAGAACAATAACCATGAATTACTATAAATACACAGAAAATAAGTTGCTAGTCTTTCTGACCAATTAGATAACAGCATTTATACAAACACGTGAGAAAATAAATAAAACACGTGGTTTTCTAGTTTTTGCTCAAAAGATTTTTTTGGAACAATTTTTTTTCTAATCTTTATGTACATTTAGGAATAATATAATACATGTATTTATGACAATTCTACCGTGAACAAACACGACTTGAAAGCTTAGAAAACGTTTTAAGTCGGATTAAAAAAGTTAAAAAAGTTTATATAAATACGGAAAATTTTCAGTTTTTAGAGCCTGACATGAAAATCTTATCGAAAGGATAACCGTCTTAATTATTTTTCGAGTGTTTATAACAAAACCGTCCATACAGTTTCTGGTATGCGAGGTAAGATATTGGGATAAAACGCATTCATGTATAACTCTTTTCTCCACGTTTTCCGCCTTTCCTTATGCCCATTAAAAGTCTGCATAGTGTAGTATTTGGCGCTTATGAAATCCATGATATATCGAATGGCTAAACAAAATTATATTTACCAACATATACAGGAGTATATTCTGGTAAATGTTATACAATGTAATTGAACTTGATAGGAACTACAGTGTAGCTGGTGTGATTTATTCCTCCGTAAACGATTACATTGTATCATGCATTTTTTTTCTTTGCCGAGATAAAAATGTCAAGGTTATTCACGGTAAATATGTGGGGAATACCTTATTCTTCAAAAGTTTTCATCTTACTTATAAAGATTTTTTGCTAAAACATCTTTTTGAGGATAAAACAAAAGCACATGTTTTCTTGTTCTTTTAAAATATGTTTTGGCGTATGTAAAATGCGGTTGTTTGATTGGATAGAAACATAATTACGTGTACATGATGTATATTTATAGCAATTTTCAGTTCTTGTCTTCCATATTTGGAAATCGTCTAGATCTGTAATATTACTACGTAGTACGTACGTTAGTCATCGAATACTACCCTCTCATTATTTTTTATACATGTAGACATTTGAATATTTAATTAAGAAGAAATATTTTCAGCGTAAACATGGAACACACCTATCAAATAGTACTTGTATCAATTCTGTGGCAATTCATGGTATCTGAAGGCGTGCTGAAATGTCCAGAATCCACAGAAGATTGGGGTAGGGCATCAATGGCTCTGCAATGCAAAGACCCAAATTACTATCACTGCCTCAAGGACGAAAACGGGCAAATAACACAGCAATGTCTTCAAAAAGTTTGGATACAGCAAAGTATGGGGAATACTATTGTTTATTAATTAGAGGTAGAGGAAAGATAAGATACACAATTTAATTGATGATGATTACTTTTATATTTTTTTTTCAAGGTATGTGTCCAGAGTTTAATTTTAAAGCTCGCCGAATAGATGTTTATCAATGCAAATCTAATGAGAACAACTGCCCGACTACAACGTACTGGTCTAATGCTGTTTACGTCTGTATGTCTACATTTGAAATAAAATACTTGACAATGAAATTGTTAAACAGTTTATAATGATTAAATATCTTTGTAATACTGTTCAAATTGACTATGATAAGATTATTATAATTGACATTATTTTATTCTTAAAATAGTAATAATATTTATATTTCAAGCTGTAAGCAAATGAATAAAACAATGTACATTTAATGCAGAATGATGAGATGTATGTATATAATTAACTTTTATTCCAACTGAAAGAAATACCTGTGAGCTATAGTGTCATATAAACGTTTTTTTTTTTTGGTTAAAACAGATCCTGGGTGTTTCCATAATGTTTCATCCAATGTACTGAAATCTAGCACGTGCGTACGGAAACCTTTAATATACTGCTAGAATTATTAAGCCAGTGATTATCAATGATTATCAACTAATCTTACAATTAAAAAATTAGCTATATATATCCTATTCTTTTGCAGGACCTTATTTACTCTTCCTTTAACGATAGAAATAACTACAAAGGACAGTGCATCTGCCAATGATACCTCATCTTCCGAGAAAACATCCAATGCAATTCCATTCACGTCAATAATAATAATAATAATTTCTAGTCTAATCGTCACTATAGTGCTTTTTCTCGGTATAGGATGTCTAGTGTTTAGATGGAGACACAGAAGAGGTAATTTTTCACATTGTACTATTCATTGACATCTATTAGAGCGATATAAACTCAATGAAATTTAAATTTCAGAGTTAAGTACCGGAGAAAAAGATAAAGACAACAATTCACCTGAAGAAGAGATTATGTTACGAGGTACAAGTAATTACTTTTTACTTACTTACTTAGGCCTGCCTCTGTAGCTGACACATTGGGAAGCTATACAGTACCTCCACTCAGTTCCTTTATTTGCTTTGTTTTTGTTACCTTCCATTTTGATTCAACGTCATTTCTTTCAGCTCTATCTCTGTTTTTATTGATATGTTGTTTTGGCCTGCCCTTTTCCCTCTTCCTTTCGCCCGTCAAAAATGCTCTTTCTAGTTGTGCTGATCTTTTCTGAGCACATGGCCGTCCACTTTATTTTCCATTCTCCATCTAAAGCCATTTTTCTTCTCTCTGGTGTATTCCCTCATGAACCAGTCTATGGCCATTAACAAGAGGCCCACAGGCCTTATAGGTCACCTGGGTATCATGTAACAACTTTTCAGCGATTGCATTTGGTTCGTGTTTTAATCCAAAAGCCATGAAATTCAAATTATGAAGGAGGCACCATTGCTTATCAAAGGGCAGATTTCAAAGCATTAATTTATTTTTAGTCAAAGTACCCCCCTTGTACCCCTAACCCAGCGGCCCTGAAATTATCTATTTTGAAAGAGACCCCTTTCTTCATTATAAGGCCAGCATTGTTTTTTATGTTTAGGTTTAGTTATAAACATGAGAAGAAAAAAGTCCCGAAGGAGAAGGAAATAAATTTTTTTTTTGATAAATCAATTATTAACATTTGTACATTCTTTTTTTATGCTATTCTAATAGGTTCCTTACCATTGGACACATAATGCTTACAAATAGGAAAGTAGAACATTTGATTGCTTATTTCATCATCTGCCAGTTTGGGCCAGTTATATAAATTTTTTGATGTTGGTCAAAATATATTTTAAAAAATCAATTCTTTAAAAGTCTTTCAATATATCTTCATTTTTTAAATATGTGTTAGGTGAATGTGTAGACATTGTTCTAAAATTTACTTGATGCCTAAAATTATAATTCCTATCATAAAACAGACAGGGAGTATTGGGAAGTAGGGTGAACATTTTTTCAATTAAGTGTAAAATAATTTTTCTGGCTGATACAAATGATACTACATGCCTGTATATATTTGTATATTCTTGCCGCCTTTTAAAAGTTGATTTTTTTTATTTCTTCAGGTTATTGTTTATTTCTTCCTCAAATGGACTTAACTTCTCCCATAGTTTTATTCATTACATCTGATGCATAAGCAACCCTTTTCTGAAGAATGATGCTTAGACTGTAAGCTATAACAGAGACCTAAACTGTAACAATGTCGCTGGCAATATGCAATAACTACCACGGGCAGTTTAAAACCTGGGGGAGGAAAATAATTTACAGACAGATACTTTTGAAACGAATACATAATTATCTCACCAGCATGTCATTGTGCAGCAAAGTCGTCAGCATTTTATTTGTCCTTTGAACGGGTAAAACGTTTTGAATGGCACTCGTATCGATGAATTTTACACTAAACCAAGTTATCTTCTCAGATCTAGCTTTATTTACCCGCCGTTTCATCTTAAAACCGGAAGTGCAAGTTCGTAAATTTGAATTCTCGATCCCGACTCAAATTTGACATCGGAAAGAAAAAAAATTGTTTTATTTTTTTCTGAAAATTCAAAACCTTGAGCGGAGGGTTTGTAAAACTGAAAATAAAATAAATCCTGGCCTTAAATATGTAATTAGATCATTAGCATATTAACCAGGAGCAAAGGATAAGATGTTCAAAGAATTCATGCATTTCACTATATAATCATTAGAGCCCCAACCTAAAACAAGAACCCCTCACCCTGGGGCCATAAAATTCACAATTTTGGTAGAGGCACTCTTGCTCATTATAACTATGTACTTAGCTGGTTTATTTAATACCCAGGAGCAGAGAAGAAGATTTTCAAAGAATTCATGTACTTTCACTATATAATCATTAGAGCCCCGCCTTAACACCAGAACCCCTGACCCTGGGGCCATAAAATTCATAATTTTGGTTTATTTAATACCCAGGAGCAGAGAAGAAGATTTTCAAAGAAATAATGCATTTTTACTGCCTACTTATTTAGCCCCGCCCTAGCACTAGAACCCCTGACCCCAGGGCCATGAATTTCACAATTTTGGTAGAGGGCTCATTGCTGATTACAATCATGCAAACAGTTTGACTGCTTGATGTCCAGGAGTAAAGAAGAAGATTTTTAAAGATTGCATTAATTTTAGTGGTTTTGGCCCCACCCCTCAGGCCCCAGGGGGGCAGGGATCATGAAATCCAAAATTTTTGTTTCCCTTCACCCTTAGATGCTTTGTGGCAAATTTGGTTGAAATTGGTTCAGTGGTTGCAGAGAAGAAGGTGAAGATGTTCAAATGTTAACGGACGATGCACGACGCACGACGACGGACGAAAACAGATAGCAATAGGTCACCCGAGTTTACTCAGGTGACCTAAAAAGAGCAAAAGCGTAAAAATTCAGCCTTGTTTCAATCCGGATGTTACTGGGAACCTCTTTGTTTGAGCATTGTAAACCATCACACTACACTGAGATCCTTCAAGCAGTGCCCTGATGATATCAATAATCTCCGATGGTAGGTCATTCAGTCATAAGAGCGTCAATAAACTTTCTCGATTTACACTATCAAACGCAATTTTGTACCCCGCTTTCGCGAAAGCATTCGTGTATCCATCTGTCACAAAAACTCATTTGTCATACCCGGGTATCTTTTAAAAAAGAAGAGACAGGACTTCTTAAAAAATTACATATATGTATTCCCTGCAACCTTTCTAAAAGTACCTGTTTTGTTTAATCTTTGACCTTGGAGTTTGGCTTTCTTTTCAAAAAACTTAAACATCACTTAAAATTGCCTAAAACTTTTGAATGAATAAAGATAGATTTTCCATTCTTGGGATGTATATTACTTTCTAAATTCACTGTTATTTTTTATCCCATAACCTTCACCAGTTATTGCACTCCTCTTTATCCCCCTTATTTGGTAGTTTTATAACTAGTCCATTTTCAACTCTGTTGGTACAATGTTGGTTCTCCAAATGTCTTGGAACAGATTATATACCCTTAGATGTTGCTACGATGTCTGTGTATAGTCTGAAAAATGACAAGAGGACATACATTTGAAAAATAAGATGATACATTCAGTAGGTTTCACCTCAAACTTGCTTACACCAAGGAAAAAATTGCAGATAATTGCACGTAATTAAATAATTAAATTTCTTAACCAAACCAGGTTTGAAATAGTTATAGTTGTAATGATGACAATTAATGAAGTCCACATTTAAATATAACTAACTTATAAAAACACTAAAAATAATATTCAAAATTCGATTTTCCTCTCTTATACTATGTCGAAAAATCGAGACAAATTTAATTATTGAAGCCCGGAGGACCGGACTTCTCTTTACATATCAGTTTTAAGTGTTGGTATATGGGATAAAGGTGGGAGAAGTTATTCAGAATTAAAGGTTTTCTAAACATTAGAAAGATTGTAAATCAGAATGTTCTTTACCTTTATAAATAACGCGATATACAATATATTTACTTCCATAAAGTGAATCTGTAAAAATATATATGATTTTAATATTTAACATAAAAAGTTGCTTACCATTTACAATAAAAAAAACCCACAGGTCCCTTTTTTTACAACATCGAATTTTACTTATCGCATAAAAACCTTTTTTACACAGTTCGTATTTTTGTTCTTAAAGTGATATAGTTTGAAAATGGTGATGCATGTGTCTGGTTTCAATTAATATTTTATGCAGCCAACATTTACTTGAGGAAATGATAAAGTTTAAAAGAGTATCATTTTTATTTTCATCCGACTATAAGTTTTCAAAATATTCTCGACTATCGTCTCCATCATTTACATGCATGTCTTTTTCGGATATATCAAAGCGGTTTGATGAACAAGACTTATTTCCATTGTTTACTTTATTTTTTTCCCGGGCGATAATTGATGGTTACATCAGTGGTTTTTTGTTCATATCTGTTTTACGCTCTGATGGAAGTACATGAAAATTAAGATTATATATATTTTTGTTTCATTTATTTGGTATGCAGAGGTCATGAAAGTACATGTTATACAATTATTGCTGTTTTTAAGGTCAATACAATGATTTAGCCATCTGAGGAGTACAATATTCACCGAGCCCGAAGGGCGAGGTGAATATTGTACTTCGAAGATGGCTAAATCATTGTATTGACCGAAAAAAACAGCAATAATTGTTTTATTATATGATTCACTGATAAAATGATACAGCTCATTACTTGTTAACTTGCATTTAATTAAGTCCTAGCCAAATACAAGAGAGAAACAGAATTAAAATGTGAATAAACCTTACCAGTCGTATAAATTTAAAATGTTTTTTTTATCAATTTTAGTTGCCATGAAAAAAAAAATATAATGTCAGTCTTTTTATAGGATAGATTTTGAAAGGAAGAGGTTTTTCAGGGAAAACTGACTGCCAACAAGTAAAAATTGTTGTTCAGTATACCTGTTGGAGGGGGGTCCCTGCATCCCCTCTTACCACCCTCACCCTAAAATATATATTCGATTATGTTTTTTTTTCACATGAAAAAAAGATCACAGACGTTTGAATAGCTTTCCAAAACAATTTGTTTCAATTTGGAATTTCCCAAACTATTTTTAGATCAATGTAGAGGAAATAAATCCTTGTATTGACCTGAACGTCACGTTCAGGTCAATACAACGTAGTATTTTTCTAACATAGTTGGATCTAAGCCAATCAGAGAGGCGGAAATTATTCAATCATATAATAAATAATTTTATTTGAGTTTCATAATAACATATACCTGATACAACACACTCTTGTTACTTATAATAAATATATTATACTCACATATTTATACCATATAAAATTGTATATATATTACATAATACAAGTAATATGTGTTGTAGATGATATTCACAGCCTAAACCTAAATGATGATTCTACAAACCTTGACAAACAACTAAAGGGTTTGTATGCTTTTTTTTTTAGCTCACCTGAGCCAAAGGCTCAAGTGAGCTTTTCTGATCAAAATGTGTCCATTGTCTGTCGTTGTCGTCGTCGTAAACTTTTCACATTTTCATCTTCTTCTCAAAAACCACTGGACCAATTTCAACCAAACTTGTTAAAACGTATCCTTGGGTAAAGGGAATTCATGTTTGCTCAAATAAAGAGTCACGCTCTCTTCCAAGTGGAGATAATTGGAATAAGTGAAAAATTAATGGTATTCTTAAAAAAATCTACGAAATATCTTTTCAAGAACCATTGGGCCAGGAAATATGAAACTCATGTTGAATCATTCTCAGGTGGTGTACATTCAAGTTTGTTCAAATCATGACCCCCGCGGGTAATGATGGGGCCACAATGGCCGATCAAAGTTTTACATAGGAATATATAGGAACAATCTTTAAAAATCTTCTCCTCAAGATACATAGGGACAGGAAAGTTGAAACTCATGTTGAATCATCCTCATGTAGTGTACATTCAAATTTGTTCAAATCATGACCCCCGCGGGTAATGATGGGGCCACAATGGCCGATCAAATTTTACATAGGAATATATAGGAAATATCTTTTAAAAATTCTTCTCAAGAACTATTGGGACAGGAAAGATAAAACTCATGTTGAATCATCCTCAGGTAGTGTACATTCAAGTTTGTTCAAATCATGACCCCCGTGGGTAATGATGGGGCCACAATGGCCGATCAAAGTTTTACATAGGAATATACAAGGAAATCTGATAAAAATCCGAAATCTTAAA